CCTCGGCTGCCCCCGCGGGCCTGGCCCCGGGCTTCAGTTACTCCCGGGTTCGTGCAGTCCCCGCTCTCTCCCCGCCTGCCTCGGGAGAGCTTGTGCTGGGAGTTTAGGGGTGTGCCTGGGTCGTGAGGCTGCCAGGCGTTACCTGTGGGCGCCCTGTACGGTGTACGTGCTCCGCCCGACGGCCATGGGATCTCAGAACCGGGACGGACGGACAAGTACCCTAAGGAGACCAGCAGGACTTCATGCTTCCTGAAACCGGCCGCCAGAGCTCCGAGTTTCATGGGGTTTTTATTGGCTCCGTAGACCACACCATCTACTATAGAAACGGACTTGACAAGTTGGCCTCCCTTTATTGTAGCCTAATTTCTGGAGGACTTGGATTGAGAACTACAAAATAGAACGTATAAGAGCAAAAATCTGAACTACGTATTCGAACTGGGGATTTCTGTTTTTAAGTGAGCAAAAGCGATCACTTTAAGATAAAACAGTCTTCTGTGCCTCTAGCGAGTTGAAAGGCGCTGTAAATAACTAGAATTAGAAAAGCATAGTGTGAACAAAATTTCCTCAACACCAGTCCTGGAAAGAAATGCTCATGGGGCTAAACATAAAATTCGAATTTAGGTATTAAGAACATCCTCTTCTGGGGCAGCAGGTGGCCGACTGCAAAGTTCTGTCCTAGACCTCTCTGTTTGAAAAACCCTGAGGGGAGAATGAAAGAGAAGGGATTGCAGGTGGCCTTCCTCTCTGGAGTGTAGGAGAGTGATATCTCTCTCTCTCTCTCTCTCTCTCTCTGCCAAAAAAAAAGGCCTCTTCTTGGAGTGTAATAACCTTTAAGGCAGGGCTTCTCACTTAACACTGTGGGCAAGGGAAAAATACATCTTCCCTGAGAGGATGTTTAGCAACCACCTTTGATAACCTAGCACCCTACTCTTGCCCTGAGTCATGACAGTGTTTCTCGGCTTTGTCTAATACTTGAGAGCCACACTGGTTTAAATTAATGCTAAGAGTATCCTTTGGCTTTTTCTGGGTACCCCTCAGATCCTGAGAGATTCCAATTCAAATTTGTCTGAACCCATCAGAGCCAAAAATAATACCTTTGTAGACATCGCTCCATTGCAAAGTCTTCTGTGTGCAGATGTGCTGATTTGGGCTCCTCAAGGAGGCCAACTGACTACACAAAAGGACCTTTTCTTAGACTAATGGAAGTGTTCCTTCCACCCTGGTAAGGCCTTGGGGTTAGAGCATGTTGGAGATTAGAGACCCGCATAGACCTCTGAACCCCTTAGCCTTTGCAAGGTCACCTATGGTAGCCTGGGTCAACATACTTCCATCTCACCCTTAGATTTTAAAATTAGGCTTCTGACTTTCAGTGAGAAACCAATTTCTATAACTCCTGGGCAGCCAGGGATTGGCCTTGGCCAGCCTAATTGAATGGTGTGTGTCTCTGTGGTAATAGCACCTCAAATAGCATTAATAAAATAGATATTTGATAGGCCCATTCACATTTACTGAGTGCCAACTGTGTGTCAAGCAGAGCATCACTATACTAGAAAGGAGACTAAGCGCACATTTCACCGGTAAATGACTCTCCTCAGAAACCTAATTATGAGAGTAATGACTTTTATAAATGTTACTGGAAGGAGTCAGTGAATAGGAACCCATAAACGGATATTCCAATGACAGTTACAAAATACCTTCCCTAATTGACAAAATCACTATCACGGATAAAAGGCCCAAAACGATCCCACGTAGGACTTTTAGAAGCTTTATTAGTTAAAGTTAAGCACTTTGGGAATTTAATGCCAAGCAACTCAAGAAGTGATAGAGTGTACAATGTGGATTAATAGATTAATACGCGGCAGAAACAAATCTCAGTGGGTTGACACAACAAGGCTTATTTCTCACTTGTCCCAGTTAACAACAAAATTCGACAAGCTGCCACACCCTCTGTTCGTGAGTCATAATCTTCACTTTGTCTCTTGGACACCACTGTCTCTTATTTCTTTTTCCACCACATTTTCAAGGTCTTTTCCTATGTTCTCCTTCCTCCCCAAGCCTCTAAATATTTGAGTACACCAAAGCTCAGTCATGCCTATTAAGTAAGACCCAGGGCTTAAAATGCCACCTATTTGCCTTTGACATCCAAATTCATATCATCATATCTAATGGATATCTCGTATTTAACATAACCAAACAGAGCTCCTGGCTTTCCCCTCTCCTCAAACAGCTCCCCTCCCCTTATATTACTTAAACAAATGGCAATCCCGTTTCAGTCACTGCATACAATAACCATGAGTTTATCTTTTAATTTACTCCTCTTTCTGTCCCATCCAATCTGTCAGCAATGCCTAGTGGTCAGAATCCAATTCCTTCATCCACATAAGACCAAATCATCATCTCTCATCTGACTATAGCTTGTCATTTATTGTACCCATTATTTAATATCTGAACCCCATTTGCCACATGGCAATCTTAATAGTACCTTTTTTTTTTTTGAGAGGTTTTTTCTATAGGGCACATGCGCTCACCAGACAGAGAGAGACAGAGAGACAGAAAGTGAGAAATCCCCCAGGGGAGATGGCCATGGCGCAATCCCTTCTCCTCCATTCTCCTCTTGGGATCTTGGGCATGCATGCAACATGCCCAGCATGAGTTTTAAGCCACCAGGTCCGGGACACGAACCACGGTCGACTACATAGGAGTCCAGTGACATAGCCATTACGCTAATTCCTGGTCCCAGGACTTTTTTTTTTTTTAAGAGAGATTTTTGCTACAGGGCACATGTGTTTACCAGATACAGAAAGACAGAGAGACAGTAAATGAGAAATCACCACCCCCACCCCCCACCCTCACCCCCAACCCCCCGCTGTGAGCACACACACCCGGAGTAAGTTTTAAGCCACTGGATCCAGGGCTTGAACCACTGTTGACTACATGAGAGTCCAGCCATGTAACCATTATGCCATCTGCTAGTCCCCATAATAGTACTTTTAAAACATAACTTTAGGGACAAGGAAGTGGCATGGTAGTTAAGGCACTGGACTCTCACATGGCTAACCATAGTTCGAGTACCAGACCCAGCTTAAAAAATCACTCCTGGCACATATGCATGCATACCCAAAATCCTGAGAGGAGAATGGAGCAGAAGAGCAAGGCCATCCCCCAGGGGATGGTTTCTTACTTCCCCTCTGTCTCTGTCTCTCTCCAGAAAGTGAATCTACCCCATGGCAAAAACCTAAAAATGGAAGCAAAACCATAATTTTAGAGCATTCACTATTTTGTTTAAGATCCTCCAGTATGGAGGAACAGACCCCAAGAAGATCCAGATGTTGGAATTAAGAGAAAAGAACTTTAAGGAAAGTATTCTAAAGTATCTTACAGCTATGCAAAGCCTTAAAGAAAAGAGTTGTCATAGGGATGGGCAAGGTAGGGAATATCAACAGAAAAATGGAAATGATAAAAAATGTAATTTTTAAAAATAAAAATGTACAGTGTCTGGAAGGAAAAGTTCACTGCATAGTTTAAACCTCAGAGTATAAATGACAAAAGAAATGGTTAGTGAAACTGTAAAGAGATTATTGAAAATTATCAAATGTAAAGAACAGAGATTGTTAGTATGAAGACAGTTTTGATAGTTTTCACGATAATATCAAGTGAGCTGACATATGTGAAATTGGAGTCCAAAAGGGAAAGGCAAAACAGAATGGAGCAGAAAGAATATTTGGTGAAATAATAAAAATAGCACTTCCTTTAAGTCTTCAATGTGCTATTTTTTTAAAATTTACCTTTATTTATTTTATTTTGATCAGAGAAGAACAGAGAGAGAGAAAAAGAAAAAATGAGAAAGCAAGCCACCAGGTCTGAAACTCAAACCATGGTCGACCATGTGGGAGTCCAGCACCCTTAACCACCATGCTGCCTGCCGACCCTCAATGTGGTCACTTTTATTTCAGAGTCTATTTCTATTCCAGGGAGACCAATTTGTGATGTTTGGTGCCAGGAATGACCAAAGAAATCAGTGTACATGGAGTTTGGGAGCCGAATCACTATCAGGCTGGTAATGAGTATCTCACCCCTACTCTCTGTAAGCTTAGGCAGTCCCTGACACTCATTAAAACTTTCACTAGTGGTCAACTGGGACCATACGCTGGTGGAAAGGAATGCCTTAACTGTACCAGACATTTGAAAAATACAGAAGATGGGGCTAGCAGATAGCTTGGTGGTTAAGGATGATGGACTCCCATATGACCAACCACGGTTCCAGTCCCAGACCTGGTAGCTTGCTTTCTCACTTTCCTTCTCTCTCTCTTTCTCTATCCCTTTCAGGTCAAATTAAAATAAATAAATAAATTA